TCAGTATCGGGTTGTTTTGCGTGCACAACCCATCAAATGCTGAGTGAAGAACATTTTGGACCTTAATGTTTAGTATTAAGATTTACTTTAATTATATTTGTCATGTGGACATAGTCCAAAGTATAACAAAATTGAAGTAGCATTGGGCGGGGTACATTGATCGTAGATCAGGTATCCAATGGGGCCAAAAAGTTCTTGAGTAGTTACCGCGTACCGGAAAACGCAGGGCGGGCAGACCACCTACGAGGTGGCTCGGTGTACCCGGTGAATGTTGCTAGAATCCGCTGCACAGAAGCATACACAAAACCGATCATTGTGGCGATCTTTGCACGAGGTTTATGTCCAGCAGTGGACGTATTTCCGTTGAAATGACGATAATGAATGAATGAAATGAATGACTACGAGTCAAAGTAGGTTGTGATATTTTGTTACAATGACGCACATAAGAAAAAGTATTTACCTGCACAATATACATAGTTATAAATTTGGACAATTTTGAATTTCCACTTAGGTTCAAGCCCGCGACATCGATGCTTCATCAGACCTCCGTTATTCCATCATCGCACCCGAAGAACATCCTTTCTGGATCGACCCTCTCTCAGGCCGACTCTCCATCAAGACTGAAAACGCTGATTTTGGTTCAGCGCAGAACCATCGATTTGAACTTACTGTGTTGGTAAGTTTTGGACGCACACTTATTTATACATTGTATTGTTATGCACAAGTATCTCTCTAAGGTAAGGATTTAGTTCTGTACGTTTTTAACGTCTTGGTCTCATCACAAGGATTTAAGTAAGTCTCTTCGGTCTCTCATAAATGGCGACAAGGAGCAAAAAGTGTGATGGGCCTACAGAAGAAAAAAATAATGGAAGTTCCTAACTAAGCCTCGATTACAATCAGAACCGCTGTTGATAAAACTCAAACATTCGTACACGTAAACAATTTGAAAAACTATAAAATCTTGATAATGATTAGTCGTAGTTTCAAATTTTAAAAAGAAATAACAAATTCTGGACTGTTAATATTATTTAAACTTTAGCCCGTTGGCATTTATCGTTGAATATTCAATACTTGTTATTGCAAGTTACGATGTTTTGATTTCATATTGAAATTTCAATCAATGTACTGACATCTAGCGATCAATAGCTGAAACACGACGAATTCGGGATGTTTATTTGGTTATCTAAAAAAGAAACGATCATATTGCATCGGTATAAGATTTACTTTAGTTATAATTATTAATACAAAGATCGAGCACTCAGAAAAACATCCTTCGATCCGGCCGGATTCGAACCGACGTCTTCTAGCATACCGTGCCAGACGCTATAGCAACTAAGCCACGGCACGAACCAGCGGACCTCACGAATTTCCTATGTGCTTGCGTCATATCTTTGTATTTGGTTTTTCAACGACTTTTTAGCCGTAGCGCCATCTATGGTAAATTTATGATATTTCGTCACCCAGTTACATACCTTTACAGCTACGAGCCCTGGCTAGAGATGTCGCTATTCATTGTATTCCTCTTGCATACCGTTACTTTAGTTTCTTATAACAAAAAATTACGATAAACAGAAAATTGAAAATTAAATAAAGTAAGATTTAACGATGACGTAAAGCAGCACCATAGCTAATATTACAAGTGCGACCATCATTGACTTACAAATAAATGGACGACGGGTCTAATACAAAACCACTAAAAAAATGTCTCAAGTCAACCTATTTAAACGTAGTGACATGTAAAGGAATATGAAAAAGCTAAAACGTTGAATTTAAATTGTAATGTCATCGCAGTACTGTCTAATTTTGCTTGCTTCGCTGTCAGAAGAAACAAACGAAGACTAAAGCGTGAATGACGCTCTGTATACGATTTAACGCCCTATAAGTTCGAACACTTTTTAGCTCGGACCCGACGTCCATATAATTGTAAGTCAATGGCGACCATAATTTTTCTACTCCAAAGTAGCAAAATAAGACATTTTCCTACGATTTTCGAAGTTATATTATAACGTACAAAGAGAAAATGGCGGACTGTGTAACTAGAATTTTGCGTCATATTGGCACACGTACCACGCAAACAAGAACAATAAATACAGTAGAAGTGCTTACACTTCTACTGTATTTATTGTTCTGTGATTGCGACGCCTGCGTGACAGCCCTAACTTGTAACTAACACGGAGAACCAGAACCATAGGAGAGCTCGCGTACTGGTCGCGATTGCTTACAACCATGTATGTAATACTAACACTAGTCAAGATCACCTGTAATATTAACCATATATGGACAAAGATATGAAATAAATTATGATTATAAAATATTTGTATCCCTTTCAGGCAACAGACGGCATCCACAATGCGACCTGCAAAGTAGAAATATCTGTGCGGGATGTGAACAATCACGCACCTGTGTTCGATTCGGAAGTTTATGATGCTAATATTTCTGAAAACGCTCCCTATGGTAAGTACCCACTATGTCATTCTTAATTAGAGAATGGATTCAATTGCAGTGAATTCGTATCTGAGAAGACACAAATGGCGGTTCTAACAGTGACGGATTTAGTAGCAGTGGCCACACACCCCGGATACTCCATAGAACGGTCGAATGTTGTTGTTGTTGTACTACTACATACAGCAAGGCGCTATTTGCACACGCGCAAATGTGTGCGTGAAGTGGCAGGGTTACCCATCACTTGCTCGTACTATCAAGTTACGTGGTCAGAGCGGCAACATAGCGAAAACTCTAACGCGATTCGCGTTGTCTATAATTCTATTAATAGAATCCTAATAATTACACATGTCCATTACATATTTATATCGATATAATAGTATATTTTTCATTAATTCACTAACTAGAATAATATTGAAGATTTATTTAAAAAAACATATTAAAAGCACTTAAAATGCTATATTTTGGACAGGTACTTTTTAGGTAACCAAGGTATTTGACATTGCGTGTCCAAATTTATTATTACCTAGTTAATAATTAGGTATATTCACTACATATATCGGCAATACTAATTGTTAATTCGAGTCTATTAGTCACGAACTTATGGGGTCTAACTATATTGATATAATAAATCTGTACTAACTTATATTACTCTGCACTAAAAAAAATTAAGAAAACAATAACTGAATGAGTCTCAGACGTAAGTTTTTTTTATTTACTTCGCTAAAAAAAAACGAAAATCTCTTTATCCCGTTTAGATGATAATAAACTGCTAAAAAAAAGTTATAATTAAGTAACATAACTAAGTTGCACGCGATGAGTATTTCTTGTTTTAACATCATCATCAATACGTCCCACCGTTGAGTACGGGTATCCTTTCAGGCGACGGTTTAGGCCATATAGTCCGCCACGCTGGCCCGATGCAGGTTGGGAACTTCACTATGCTTTCTTTCACCGAAAAGCTCAAGGTGAATTTCAAATTGAACTTTCTTTTTTTGAACATGGTTGTATGAAAATATAATCGGCGTTGTGAAACAGCAGACCTTTTTTCTCCTATCACCATCGTTTGATATACTTGAAGAAAGAAATAATAGTTACTAAACTGTAACTGTTGTTTATTTCTTCAAGTGTTGAATCAAATAAACGATTATGATTTCTGTTCAGGAACCGAAGTGGCAGCAGTTCGAGCAACTGACAAAGACAGCGGCGTTAATGCGGAAATTAAGTATGCTATAAAAAAGGGCGCCTACGATGCGTTCCAGATCGACAAACTTACCGGAGTGGTCACTGTCTCATCACAACTGGACTACGATAAGAAGGATACTTATAGAATACAAATCGTCGCTACAGATTCAGGTGGCGTATTATTAATTAATTATGTATTCTAGTATGCCTTTTTTAAAACGGAGTAAAATAACATTTGCAGTTTGCAGTTTAGTTGTCGACAATTTTATCGAAAGATTGTAAAAAGTATTGCCGAAATTGTTTTGTTTTCTTTATTCTTGTTTGACAGTTGGCCTCGTTCTTGACAATTGCTGAAAATTAGATTTTTTATTAATTCTTTTTAACACCAATGGTTTTGTTACTTAATTTCATAATTTGAATTTAAAAATGAAATTTACCAAAAAATGTCCATTGATGTTAAAATAGAATTAATTGTAAAACCTAATTTTCAGTCATTGTCAAAAACGTGCTTCATCCCTAAATAGCTTTGATGTGTGTTTATTAGCAAAATTAGTTATTAGTATAACAAATAATTAGTGCTGGTAACCAGTGACAGTAGTGGTTGGGCTACGATGATCAAATGGAAAGGGACTTATAATAATTTGATATTTGGTACTTAGTACAAGTTAACTGGTGCAAATCGTACTTTCAAGCCTACTTTCTGTGACCTTTGGCGAGCGTTTCGCTGCTGTTTAGGGCAGTAGTTTAAAATTGACAATATTCTTTTGTGTTCTTTGTGCTTTCACCGTTATTAATTTTATATTTAATTTTTAGGAATGCCTTCCTTAACCGGCACTACAGAACTAACAGTACACGTAATAAACGTTAACGACAAGCGACCGTATTTCACACCGACAACGCAAAGGGCGGAAGTGTCTGCTGACGCCGAAGTTGGAACAGTGATACACAAGCTAATGGCTGAAGACCCGGACGTCGTCGACGAGTCTCAGCTCATATTTGGCATGTCTGCAAGACCCATTACTGCTGTTGATAAGAATGGAAAAGAGGTAAGTGTAGTTTGTAATATTTTTTCGTCCTTATACCAATAAAATATGTGCCTAACAACTACACAAACTATCTGGTGTACTATGAATACCAGAGTAACAGAATTCACTCCGGAGTTTTGCCAAGAACATTTCCCAAATTTACTAAATGGTCTCGGATTACTGTCGCAATTGTAACCCTTTCCCCCTCGAATTTTGTTCCTCGTCTCATAGTTTTACGGTAAACTGGTTCAATGACGATATGGGTCAAATATGTCCTATTAATAATACTTTAGCTTGACATCAAGTACTTACGTGTTTCATATTGTTCACAGGTAACAGATGAAGGCATATTCTACACGTGGTTCACAGTTTTATCAAACGGCAATGTCGTCGTGTCGCAGAAACTGGATAGAAGCAAAGCAGCTGTATTGACTCTGCCAGTCACTGTTTTAGATACTTCTGCGCCTGCGCTGCAACAGGCTGAAGGTACACTTTAACAGTGATTTTTTTGAAATTTTGATTTCATTTTTTAAAATAAAAAAATACTCTAAATTGCACATTTTTAAATTGGTAAATAATGTTTCTTACAGGAGAACTTATAGTAACAATAGTGGACGTGAATCGTCACGCGCCGGTGTTTTCTCAACCGTTATATAAAGAGAAATTGGTAGAAGAACAACCAGTTGGTACTGTGCTTAATACTTACACCGCAACCGACAAAGAGTCAGCTATATCTGACATTGTCATTCACCCACCTAACCCTTATTTCCAAATTGATAATGTTACTGGTAAGTCTTCGGTTGTTTTAAGTTTTATTAGGTTCTTAATATTTTATTCTATATTAAGCACCTAGCATAATATCATTATGGGCTATTAAATCAAAGTTTCATCATCATCATCAACCCATTTATATGTCCTACTGCTGGGCACGGGTCTCCTTTCAGTCGAGGGTTTAGGCCATAGTCCGCCACGCTGGCCCAATGCGGGTTGGGGACTTCACACGTTTTCTGAGGGTTATGAACCTTTTATAACGTGCAGGTTTCATCACGATGTTTTCGTTCACCGAAAAGCTCATGGTAAATTTCAAATTAGATTTCGCACATAAATACCGAGAAATTCAGAGGTGCGAGCCCGGATTCGAACCCACGACCTTCTGCTTGAGAGGCAGTAGGTCAAACCATTAGGTTACCACGGCTTCAATTCAATCAAAGTTTAAGGTCAAAGAATGGATCCCTGTGGCAGTCTAATAATTTTAAAGCTTGTATTATACTTGGAAGTAAGCGAATTTACGTTTTTATTCTTTTTTATATCCAAAATAAACAGTTTGAGTAATAAATATACACAACAATCAATTTTAAATATATTAAGCGTTTAAATAATAAATACAATGTAAGTAACGAAGTCAAATGCTGTCATGAAATCTACATTGCTATGTTTTGTATTTACAGGAGTAGTGAAAACAACACAACGTATAGATTATGAAAAAATCAAAAGCATTAAATTTACACTAATAGCTTACGATTCTGGAGTTCCTCAGCTATCCTCCACAGCGGATGTAATAGTGGACATTCTGAATGTTAATGATGAGGAACCAGAGTTTATACAGTCAGCGTATGATGCGAGTATTGCAGAGCATTCTCTAGGGGGAACTAGAGTTGTTACTGTTACCGCCGTTGATAAGGATGAAGGTCAGTACTATGAGTAATATTGCTATTTAACGAAGTGCTACATAAAAAGTGTTAGTACTGAAAACCTAATAAGAAGAGATAAAAACATATTCAAATTTAAAGGATAGCAGAAGACAAATTTGCGGGTCTTATAACTAAGTGATATTTGTATTCCTTTCCATTAGGTGAATACGGCGAAGTACGCTACAGTCTTTCCGGTGAACAAGCTTCTTTATTCACCATTGACCCCCTGACTGGAGTGGTATACGTCGCAGAAGGAGCTGTCATTGACCGAGAAAGTGTCAGTGACATTTGGCTCAGAGTTGTGGCTTCTGATAACGCTCCGACGAATGTTAGGAAGTCGACAAGCGTACCTGTAAGTAGTGTCGTCGATTTCATAATTATACTCACTCGAAATTGCAGGAATCTATGAATTGAAATTAATTGCTAGGTTGAGTGTGGCATCACCCTCAAGAACTTTTGTACTCTTGTTTAAAATACTAACACTGCCTGAACAGACTGTGTCAGATCTCCTTTAAGTAGACTGTTTAAAATATAATTAACATAATACCACTGCACCAAACCTTCTTCGGTATGCAGGTGTCGCCACGAATTTTTCCTTTGCTATCAAAACACATATAAAAAGTACACAAAACGACACGTGATTCAAAAACTCACCGTGGTCTTTGGAGGGATCGCACTTAGGACTTCTTCCATAGGAGGCAACGTTCTCTTAATTAGGCTAATTGTTGCTTTTAGACAGAATGGTATCTTAGAAAATACGACAAACCTCACAAGATCTAAAATTGATGAATATTTGTCCTGACTCCAATATTAATAATTATCTTTTTTTTTTATTAGATCCATGTAAAAGTACAAGACATAAACGACAATTTACCAAAGTTCACTCAGAAAGTTTACAAGAGTACTATAGCCGAGAACTTGAAACTTGATCCACCTGCGGCCATATTACAAGTACTGGCTGAAGATAAAGATGAGGGCATCAATGGGAGAGTGCAATATAAAGTTGAGGAACAAAGCCAACCTGGTAAGAAAATTATGCGTATAACTTGACCATAATAATTCATCAAAAATAAATCAAGTAAGCGAAAATACTATTAAATGCAATGTAAATGGTTAACGGTATAAAGTTAGTCATATCTATGGCAGGACTGATAATCCTGGACTCAAAAGAGATCTGGAAATCGAAATCTCACCTAACAATAAATCTGTCATACAGGTACATTCAGAGTGGACCCCTTAAACGGCATTATCTATCCAGTTCTCAACGTAACAGGCAATTTGACCTACCATCTAACAGTGTCAGCCACTGACCTAGAGGGCAGAGGACCTCACACCGACACTGCTAAAGTGGACATCTACGTACAAAGTGTCAATAGACATAGCCCTGTGTTTATTGAACCGCCTATTGAGTTGAGGCAGCTGGAAATCCCTGAGGTTAGTAACTGAAAGGATAAAGCAAAATGTCCTAGTTAAACCTTTCTTTATAAGACCAGTTTATATAGATAGATAGTCAAGTAGTTCCTATCAACCACTAAGCCAGCCATATATTGCTAGTCGACGTCAAAAAAATGTCTCAAGTGTACTGAATTGAAATGCTTATTCTTAATACACTTAATACACATCAAATATGCGAAATATTTGCATGGTAATATTGCTTTCGTCCTAAATTAAGAATAAATGTTTTACAATCCCAGAACGCAGCACAAGCAGACTACTTAATAACAACAATCAAAGCAACTGACCAAGATAAGGGTGACAACGGTCGAGTATCGTACTACCTCAAAGTTGATAACCAAAACGTTGAGGAAACTGCTGAATTTAGCCTTGACAAGGATACGGGAGAACTCAGAACTAAGACTTTGTTAGATCGGGAACATAAGTCTGATTATCAGGTACGTATTTAACTACGATCATTCCTTCCAGACGCCTTTTTAAGATCATTAGTAAAACTGGTGACTTAACTTCTTCACAGCTGGTGATAGCAGCTGTAGACAACGGTACTCCAGCTCACGAGAGTCTCAGACTGCTCTCAGTAGTGCTAGTTGACGAAGACGACAATGCGCCGCAATTTGCTTTCAAACGCTATCAGTTCACCGTAAAGGAGAACCTTGCTCCTGGAATTATTATTGGTAATCTCTTGATAAAATTAGTATAGTTTTAGTAGCAATTACGCTCCTTGTAGAAGAGTTCGTACCAGGAAGGTACTGCCTCAACTTACCTATTTCTGTCGCCAAGCAGTAATAACTGTGAGCTTTACTGCGTTCCTGTTTTCAAGGGTAACAACTTATGTCACAGGGTGACAGACGGAGTGGTACTGCCCCTCAGATTTTTCCGGCTTAAAACTCTTAGTGAAGCTGCAACTATTATGGACAGGCGTATCACTTATAACCAGGCACATGACTTGTTTGTTCCGGCACTTATACTATAAAAAAAAGTATAACCACGATTTACTTGCATCCTCACCGTTCCACCAGTAAACCAGAAGTTCTTGAACACTTCAATTTTATGCCGTTGTTATACCAGTCATTTGCTCGAAGTGCTTTGTACCTATCGGTGCGTACCATTATCATCCTGAAACTACAATTTGAGGTTATTCAAGGTTCAAGGCTTTTTTAAAAAAGATGCGTATGTCACATAGTGTCGCTTAACATTAGGTGACAAAACGTTGATCTTTTTTTTTAATTATAAAATATAAGTGTCTGTAAATCTTTGTGCTGAGCTTGAACCAAAACGGTAGCCTCTCTAAAGTTATGCTCTTTCTCTTCTAGGCTCTGTAAAAGCTACAGACAAGGATTCAGGTGACCACGGAACAGTGTATTATCATATTCTCGAAGGCAACAAGGATGGTGCCTTCACTCTCGGAAAGAAGTCTGGTGTTATTAAAGCTAATGTCAGCTTTGATAGGTATGACTAGATATTCCATATATAATAACGCACACACTCATAACCCCGCTCTAGGGTGACCCTGTATCGCGGGTGCCATGGACACACACATAGACAACCACAAATTACACCCAAACTCACGAGAGAAATAAATGTAAGCCATACAAACATTTCTTCCGGCCCGGGAATCGAACCTGGGACCTCTGCGTGGCAGTCCGGCATGGTAACCGTTCGGCCACGGAGGCAGTTATGTAGTTATATAACTGTATGCCATACAAATATTTCTCCTGGTATGGGAATCGAACCCGGGACCTCCGCGTGGCAGTCTAGCGTGGTAACTTTTCGGCCACAGAGGCAGTTAAAAATGTACCATAAAAGAGGTTTCACACAGGAAGGAGGCATTTAAAAATATACCACTGAAGAGGAATTTAATTTTGGAATATAATAAATGCGAATAAACCTGCCTTCGAACAACACCCGTAGACCAAAACTCTGTATCTGAGTTAACCCGAGCCTAATCTGCGTAGTGGTAGAACGGATGCTTTTCAATTGACCACTCATTGATGTCACGTTGAATCATCATTTCGTACTGTGGTACAAATGGGAATAGAATTCCTATTAGTACCAATAGTGGTACTTACCAGTTGTACTAACTGAAAATTAAAGTCCTTTTAGTACCACCAGAGGAACTTGCGGGAATATAGGGACGGTTCAAATCTCTGTGGCGATATTAATCTATGAATAAATTTGAGAATGTTTAACGACAGGTATTGCTAACGGTGTCTTTCCATAAAGAAGACCCGCGCTTTGCAAAGATGATGGTTTAAATTTCGAATTGTTTCTTACAGAGAGTCCCAAGCAGAATATTCCTTTACAATTTACGCCAGCAACAATCCAATTGTCGAGAACGCAGCGGCGCTGCTCAACTCCATAGACAATACGACCGACAACACTCACGACGTCTCATTCGTCACTGTCCGGATATTGGACGAGAATGATAACGAGCCTAAATTTCAGCAGAAAGTATACTACGCTGGTAAGTTTTCCCAAAATGAAGACTGTCTCAATACGGTTAATTCATAAATTTCTATAATACCAATGGAATTGACAAACCGCTGACTTTAAAAGATGAGGACCAAGATTCTTGACTCTTTCTTCTACTTAGAAGTGGCGTGTTCGTGATTAAGAACTGTTGTGTTGTGATGAAAAACGTGTTGTGGCATCCCACAATCTCTGATAGACGAGGCGAGATTGCTTGGAGCTATTGAATGCTAATCTCTTAGAACTACATGTGGTGGCTCTATTCAGAAGGAAGAATCGTTTATCAGCACCTTGTATACAATTAATAATTCGTTTAGCTATTACGTTTTAACTTAAATGAGCGTCCCGGGCACGTGGGCGAGACTGGCTTAAATTTGCCTACGCGGCGGCCCGCGCGGCGGCCGCGCGGTTATATTATTCAGGGGAATTTAAATCTTGTTGCCTAGTAAATAGAATATTCGCCATTAATTTATATGAAGGTGTGATCGCCACGCGCTTGTATCATTCAGAGGAATTTAGATGTTGTTGCCTAGTAAATAGAATTCAGATTCGCCATTAATGTACATGAAGGAGTGATACCTGGGCGGTCCGGTCGCCGCGCGACGGCCGCGCGAAAACTTTCTCCTCATGTAACTGGGCGTTAAAAGGTTCATTATATTTTCTGCGTACTTGGATGACACAAATCCATGGTAGTGAACCGTTTAACCATGTCAGGTTCCAACTTATGACTAGGCAGTATGGTTTGTGACCTTAGGCGATGGTCACACTGGTCCGCGTCACGCTATGGTGTGCGGGACGACGTAGTCACACGGTGGTAATGGAGACGCAGATCTGCGTCAACATCTTGGTTTGCTCCGCATGAGGGCAGCGGTATTGCGGTCCCGCGTCACATAGGTAGGGATCGCTTCCTCTAAAGACCAAGCAGGCACAAATCTATTGCGGAGCGCAGTGTGCCATATCTTGCGTATCGCCACACTTTCCGTGTGATAAGCGAGTGTGGTACACTCCCGCACGGAGAAGCGTTGTCAGTGTGTTGTACGGCGCGTGATTTATATACAACTGAGATACTCCAGTTCAGTGAAAGAGACTTTAGCCTGTTACTTGCGAAATGAATAAGAACAATCATCATCATTCACAGCCCGTCTTCACCCACTGCTGGGTATAGGCCTACTGTAGTTTGTGCCATCCACCACGATCCTGTGCTAGTCTCAACCATCTACTGCCCGCAACTTTGACAATGCCGTCCACCCATCTCGCTACAGGACGTCTGACGTTTCTATATCTATTTCTTGGCCACCATTCGATTATCGCCTTACACCGCCTGTATTCATCACGTCTCGCAACGTGTCCCGCTTACCTCCATTTTAAACTCAATCCGATCTCCTGTGTCCTGGACCTAGTTCGTCTACGGATTTCGGAATTCGGAACTCGATCTATAAGTTTGATCAGCATAAAACTTATAAGAACAATATTTGAAATAAATATCCTCAATGATAAATTTGAACAAATGTCTTACAAAGAGAGTTCTTCTCAAGGGAAACGACCTTACCAATGACTATTTTTCAGCAATGTGATGATTTTCAGAATGTGTTAGTGTAATTAACTTACCTACGAAGTAAACATATACATCAAACATATATATTCCCAGGAATAAAATATACGGCGCGCATCAACGAGCCTATAATAACAATAACTGCTGAGGACCCCGACCTAGAAGAAAATGGTACCTTGGTATACATGGTCGCTGCTTCGAACTTGTACAAGTTCGGGGCTTCTGTGTCCAGCGGGAGTGTTGTCCCTTCACCTTTCAACATCAGTCAGGATGGTAAGTGCTTGTCTGTAGTCTTTTCACCGTCCGCCATTAGCTATAAAGATCGGCAACATCAGTCATCTTCGAGAGCATCAGCGCCAACTCAAATAAGAGTTGGTAGCCATGACCGAATACGTTCACATAAGATATTTATAGCTAGTATCTATGCTGTCCAAACCTATTAAAGTAGAAATGTCATCAAGATGAGATTCGGACGGGGTCCGCAGCGATGAGGCATTCTCTTTGCGCATTATAGCATAAAAATCATTAGTTCCATCTTAGTTCCATCTACCGTGTTTGCTAGATTATTAACTATTTGCAAAAAACAACAATGTACAGTAAATAGCGACATCTCTCCGTGGTTGGTAGCTGTAAAGGTATCTAACTGGGTGACGAAATACTTTCATAGATTTGTCATAGATGGCGCTAAGGCTAAAAATTCATTGAAAAACCAAACACAAAGATAAGACAACAAACACATAGAAAAATTCGTGAGATCCGCTGGTTCGTTCCGCAGCTTAGTTGGCATAGCGTCTGGCACGGTATGCTAGAAGACGTCGGTTCGACTCCGGCCGGATCGAGGGAATTTTTTCTGAGTATTCGATCTTTGTATTAATAATAATAAAAAAAAATGGTTCACTCGAAAATGGAACTTTTTTCCCGAACACAATTTCCCGTGTGCGTACAATGAGGGTGGTTTATCGAAAAAAAGTTACAATGGTACCTAACGCAGCTTTCTTGCAGCAAGTTGAATGACTATCATTATGTATGATACAGCAATCTTGCGCGATTTAGCGTGCGTGTAAAGACGTTGTAATCGTGCACTCCAACACCCGTCAGTTTCGCGCGGTCTATGCTGCACTATTAAGCCTTTATATGGACACTCTTTCCGTTGTAATAAATACGAACACGAACAATCGCGCACGAAAGAACGCTAGCTAAAAAAATTCAAACAGGATTGCGCGTGCAGGCTTTCCCATGTGCACTTCTGTACGCTCCTGATCACGAGCAATACAATGACTGTATAAACAGGGCTAATGACAGCAAAAGAGCCTAGACAGATATCTGTTCTTAAATCGGTCAACTGCAGCTGGCTAATCAAGTCATGACCACGGAGTTTGTAACCAGGAAAGTAAAAAGTTATATTTCAATAAGAAATCTGTAACTATAGTATCTACGCTGTGATGGCCGTTTTGACGTTTGTCCGCTCATCAAGTTTCATATTAATTTATAACTACCTTGAAGGAGCTAATTGCTGTACATTATTGTCAATAGCCACTTGCAGTTCAATTTATGGAATTTATAATTTTACGACACAACTCGGCATTTGCTTTTCGAAATTTTTAAACATGAAATCTAATACGATCGTCACTTAGGGGATCGTTGGCCAGCACAACTTCTACCTACCAAAACAAAGCAGTTGCGAACTGACGATATATTATGGAAACATTTCTATTTTCGTCTGATTAAAACTTTTTCATTGGCTACCCCTTGCAATACTAGTTATAAATATAAAATCTTATAGATGCGACTTGCAGTTGATTATATTTTTTTAACCGACTTCAAAAAGGAAGAGGTTCTCAATTCGTCTGTATGTTCTTTTTTTTTGTATGTATGTTACGCGATAACTCCGGTGTTTGTGAACCGATTTTCATGATTATTTTTTTGTTAGAAAGAGGGTATCTCCATAGTGGTCCCATTTAATTTTGAAGAAAATCATCCACCTCTAAGGGTGGCTGTTCACGCATGAAGATTCATTTTTATAAATAGCGCCTAACTTTAATTTAGGAGCAATTACTTTAATGGTTGATTTTGCTATTTCTCCAATTCAAGGCGTTTTTCTCTCAATATACTTTGAGTAGTGAGAACCGATATTTATATCTCCAGTGTCAAGTCCTGTATAGTGGCGAACTAGGGGATATTTCAATAAAACTTAGCAAATAGACGTAATTCCACTTACTTTTGAGGTTGGTTTTTTTAGTACTCTGTACCGAGATTATGTTATTTTTTTCGATACTCAATTGAGATTGGACCTGATTTGACCTCACTATTCTAATCTGTCAAAACGGCCATCATAGCGTGCCGGTACTGTAATTAAGAGTCTTAAAAGTGCCTTTTAAAAATAATGTATAATATGTGTTTTTCCAGGTGTCTTGACAACCGCCCAATACATGTCAGAATACAACCAAGACCGGTTTGTTCTGGATATCATTGCTCAAGAAATAGCGCCGCCTCATAGACAAGCTAAAGCACAAGTTTATGTAAGTACCTCGCTCTTATTTTTATTAAGGTAGTTCCTTTTTATCAATATGTGTTTTAAACATTCAAAAATCGTAAAAAAGTAATTAGAATGGCAGCAGCGTTCTTGGTTATTACCCCGAGTCTTGTTCACTGATCTATTCACGTGCAATTTGACCATTAAGGAATGTTAATAATTATACTGGGACCTACTTAGTCCACTTTATTTGTCTTGTTTGTTTTATACTCTTATCTTTTATAGACTAAAAATAATTTTGAGTTTTTTAATGAGACACGCGCTTCTCCCCTAAATTAATTTAACTGCCTCCGTGGCCGAACAGTTACCATGCTGGTCTGCGATGCAGATGTCTCGGGTTCGATTAAATATTTGTGTGTGATGGATGTGAGTTTGGGTGTAATTTGTGGCTGTCTACGTATGTGTTCATGGGACCCGCACCCGATACAAGGCGTGTGCCTTATTTGTAAGTTGTTGTTTATAATAAGAAAGTTCAAAATAGCGAAACTCAGATTCAAGAACCGGTGAACGATACGTGCCTTATCGATCGAGCAGTACCGTTATTATTATAATTTTTAACCGACTTCAAAAAAGAGGTTCTCAATTCGTGTATTTTATGCGATTACTTGTTTTTTATTTGTGAACAGATTTTGGTGATTATTTTTTGTTGAAAAGAGGGTACCTCAGTTTTTCCCATTTAAATTAGAAGAAAATATTCCATCTCTAGGAGTGGCAAACTAGGGGTGAATCCGGTTTCGCGCACTTTCCAGTAACCGATTTCAATAAAACCTGGCAAATAGTACATCTATTCCACGAACTTTTGAGCTCGGTTTTTTTTATAAAAAAGTTATAATTATAATACATTCTTGTCGCAGGCTGCACATTCGTATTGTTTTTTTTTTCGGAACGTATCAATTTTTACGATAATTTTGTGACTTTGTGTGAGAATTAGGACAACTTTAATTAACGTTGGCTAGCATAAGCATATTTATTCGCTGACGAGTACGGCCATGTCTCAATTCCAGGTATGGGTAATCGACCGCACATCCTTGATTCGCATGGTGGTGTCTCGCGACTGCCAGGCCCCGACCCCGGTCCTTAAGAGACTGGCCCATGCGGGACAAGCGTTGTTGGTGCTCGGCAGAAGGTTGCCTCATGTTCAGGCTGACAGAAGATACGATGATTGGTAAGAATATACATAAACCTGTCATTATATATATATCTTCTTCTTCCTGTCCTTATCCCACGCTAGGTGGGGTCGGTACAACATGTATTTTCGTTCCATTCTCCCCTATCAGCCGTTTTATACTCACACGTTTCTTATCCATGTCATCTTTCACAGAATCCATCTTTTCTTTGGCCTTCCTTTCTCCGTCCACATTCGTACCTAGCACTCTTCTCGTTACATCACATTCTTCCCTCCGCATGACATGTCCATACCACGCTAACATATTACTCCTCATCTTTTCCGTCACTGGCGCCACTTCCCCTGATGTACTCATTCCTTATCTTATCCTTTCTCGTCACTCCACGTATCCATCTCAACATTCGCATTGCCGCTACATGCACAGTTCGTTCATCCTCCCTTTTCATCGCCCAACATTCTGATCCATACAACATGACGGGTCTAATCACGGTCTTGTATATATTCCCCTTTAGCTTAAGGGGCATCCTGCACTTATTCTATTCTTAACGTCCCGGTCTATCTCGCCGTCCCTCTGTATTAACGAACCGAGGTACCGAAAATCGGAACATACTGGTAGGGATACACCATCTACCGCAGTATTGGTAACACTGGAGGAAAAGTCGAGGAAAAGCTGTTCGGTTTTTGACCGGCTAATCCTCAACCTGACGCTCTCCAGTCTTACCTGCTATTTTGGCAGTCTGCTGTGGATCTCAAGTGCATCATTCCCGACAAGTATAATGTCGTCGGCGTACAGCATGCACCAGGTTGCCTCCTCCTGTATGTCCGATGTTAGAGCATCCATAATCAGGAGAAACAGATAGGGGCTTAAAGCCGATCCGCCGATACTCGGTGCAAGCCCACAGCCGCATTGAACTTGTCGGTAACGCCGGTTATATATATATATATATATATATATATATATATATATATATTATTCACTTTACTGCATTATTCACTTATTTTCGTTGCGATTTATGTAATTTTTAAGTTTTACTTTTAACTAGTTATGGCGCCACTAATGCATGATTCACTTAATTACGTCCCGAGATATTGAAATTGTCATTATCTTGGCGCCATTAGCGTATTTTTTTACTAGTTATGGGGCCACGGATGCTCGATTTTGATTGGTTTTTTTTGTGCTGACCAATTAGATGCGTATATGCATTTCATCATTTTCGTGTGCAAAAGTGATAGGGTTAAAAGTTTTGGTATTCTCTCGTTGTATAAATAAAATGCAAGTTGCATTTAAATCAATGGACTGTATTTCCAAAAATATCATAAAATTGAACCTTTGTACAAGTGTTTCCTAGAGAAAGGAGAAAAAAAAACCGTGTTGCCTGCGTAAAATAATAATAAAACCTTGGCATATTCTGTTAATTATAAATTACTATTGTAAATATTCTTATCAGAACCATATCTTTCAATATTTCTTAAACACTCCTCACAAATAGGTTGTAAATACCGCAAATTAAATAAGGGTTTACGATATTTTACGGCGGTGGTAAAAAATAAATAATTTAAAATTCATCCCTCCCCTTGCAATAACTCAAACGTAATGTATAAGAAAAAAAATAATCTGTGGAATTTCCTGCACGCGTCGATCAGATGTTTTGAGTTCTTTAAAACTTTATTTAAATGTAGCCTATTATTTTTTGTATACTCTTATTTTATATTACTTGTTAGCAATTCCAACAATAACCGTTAAGTTGGCTACATAAATCATACATCAGTTTTCCTGCGTGTACGCCATTACTCGCATTACAAGATGGCAAAATAAATATTTCATAATTACTTTGGTGCCATTTTATTGTTGAATCTTCAATACCAACCAGCCTCCACATAAAGAATGGTATTAAACATGGTCCTTCGAGCTTTTTGTTTTTCTAGTCGTAAATCGTAATTTTGTACGTAATTTGACTTTCTCAACCACTTGTAGGTGTGAAATCCACCTGCACGCCGTAGACCCATCGACGTATCAGGTGCTACCCGTGGAGAAAGTTCTTGAAACTATTGACTCCAAGTACGACGAGCTGAAGGACGTCTACCAGGAGTTTGGAGTCGAAACCCTCATTGCCGCCAGTTCTACTTCTAAAGGTATATTCTACAGAAACCTTATAGATAGATTACTAGACTGAATTAAAGAATTAGCAATGTACGGGAAAACGATATAGTTCACGTTACATTGCATTAAAGCATGTTTTGTATGATTTTTTATTTGTATTCAATGGAAAAATAATTAAACGAGCAGCATTACATATTGCACGTTGTATTATGTAATTTTGCATTATTTTGGCGCCATAAGTTTTATTTTTAACTAGTTATGGCGTCACTAATGTATGATTCATTTAATAATTTAATTTCGTCCCGAGTTATTGAAAATACATATTGGGCCAGAGTGGTGAAGTATTGCTCCATGCTGCTTTAAGGAATTGAACGCTATCGACGTCTTAATTTAAAAGCAGCCGTTCTACATTATAATATGAGATGGAATTTGTTCTTGTTCCAGCCCCTGATGCATTCGACCCCGCCCTGGCAGCGCTGATTGCCTTGCTCATTGTTTTATTCACTGGAATTGTAACTTTTATCGTCGTCTGTGCATGCCTCAAACATTGGTAAATATCTAGTTATCTTGCAAACGCAACAGTTTCGAGAGCAGTAAAGCTCTTTGAGAAAGTGTTCGTTTTTTTCACACCGTATATCACCAAATCACTTTAAATCCTCAATTTTACTGTATATTTTTCCTTTTTAACACTTTCACTGTTATGCGGAACCAACCAAAGCCATTTCAGGTTCTATGGACTTTTAAATGGAAGAGTTTTAAAATTTCACATATCGACCCCTCCTACGTAAAGGATCGTAAGTCGAAATTGCCAAGTTTACAGGGGAGTATTTTAAAGTTCTGAATTCACTCGGTACTCACATAGAGTGATCATCTAATAGATCATTATAGATCATCTAACCGATATCTAGAATTTTATAATATTCTATGTGATTAACGAGCTTTGCCGAATAAAACTGAAAAGTGCTAAAGTCACGTATTATGCTTATTTCAGTGAATTCAGAAGTTTAAAACGCTCCCCTGTAAACTTGGCACTTTCGACATACGATACTTTACGTAGGAGGGGTCGATATATTATTATGTGTAATTTGCCAACTCTTGAGAACACCGTGTGTATGTAGGCAAAATAAATCATTTAAAAAGGTTTAAACTTGATTATAAACGACTTTGTCAAGGACCCTAAAGATGATACAGAGATTAGTCAAGTAAGCCTTGTGTTTTTTAAAGACTGGCGTTTACATAAGCTATCTTCCAAACGTCAGAACCTTGTTATTCTTCAGGGTCATCGCAGCGCCTTCAATGCAATCCAGTAAAGGCGACAGTCTTGCTCGAAGGCGCATCCTCGAAGAGCTGAGCACCACTGAGAACCCACTGTGGCTGGAAACCAAACTCCGGCCTTATGAGGAGCAGGAGCTCACTATGAACGTGTTTGGAGATCAGGCTGAACCTAACAGTGAACCGGTATTGGTAAGACCTTAGACTTTAAAGTTTTATTAAAATAGCATTTTATGCAATCGTTGCATAATGAGGGTTCTTAAAGTCGTGAAGGTACGAGATTTAAGACCTAATTATAATAATGATTGCACACATAACTTTTTCTACGAGTAAATTAAAATAACGAAACACAACCAATATTTAATAGTAGTTTATGTGACAGTTATATGTATAATGAAAGGCATTAAAATACGAGTGTGGGTTTATATATTCCTAATTATGTACAGTTACACATACTGCTTTAACTATACACTGTAAGCTCTCTATGGTGTGTTCAGAAACTGCATGTTACGACTGGCGAAATGGCGGCAAATAAAAACTTTTCTCACGCATGTCACACAACCGTAGTTTTTATTTAATTCATAGACAAACGCCGGCGTCAACTATCATATCGTTCGATATCAAATAACGTGTGAAATTCGTCAATATTGTTTGCTATTGACATTACATTTCGAATGAAACTTCATCTCGACTGATATTAGAATTGAGGTCGAACAAAATTGTTTTGTTTTTCAGAGATGTTCAAAATATAAAATCGAATTTGATGTTATTATTAAGCAATAATAACATTTTCATTAATAAGAAATTTGTTCTAACAAAACAGATTATCTTTATGCTGGTCGTAATTTGCGGTTTTTGAACACATCATAGAAGGGTTGTGATGTGTGTGTAAATAAAGATTATTTGTTAACAATCCACGACAACAAACACAACGTTAACAACCGCTACAAAACAAAAAACCATAGAGATAGAATAGAAATAGCCAAGCACCACCCATAGTACTACAATTATTTCATTCAGCAATTAATTATATCTTATTTCTAGACTGACAATACGTACGCAACTATACAAGGCAACCGCGCGGTCGAGCGGTTTGGGGACTACGCCACTCTTGGGGGCGATTCTCCTACACCCTTAGAATCTGCCATGGGGTTCCAGGTAATCTATATATTGACGTCTAACACCTGTAACACTATGTTGTGTCTTTTAGGTAAAGTAGTATGCAGGCCAAATTAAGGACACAACACTCTATGGTGTAATCGTTAAGAGTGCACAGGCGATTATTTCATAAATATAAGAGATATTCAACTTTAAACTGATGTCGAAAGTACGTTACGTAATGAGTAAATGCTATAAATAAAGTAATAAAAGTAACTGAGTAAGAATAAAAATATAATGGCATAGTCACTTGTTTGGTCAAGTGTGAGTTGTCCATCATTATAATAATTTTTAATAATCATAAATTATAATTTTTGAAAATTATTAGCCAACCAACTCAGCCGTTCGAAAAAAAATAAAATAATAATAATAACGCACACACTCGACATAGCCCCGCACTAGGGAAACCCTGTGTTACGGGTGCCATTGACACACACATAGACAACCACAAATTACACCCAAACTCACGAGAGAAATAAATGTAGGCCATACAAATATTTCTCCCGGCCCGGGAATCGAACCTGGGACCTCTGCGTGTCAGTCCGGCATGGAACCGTTCGGCCACAGAGGCAGTTAAAAAATCATAGATGACACACATTTAAATCAAAGTAAGTGTACCTTCCATCGCAAATACGTTGCCGGTCATAGTCAAAGTCAAATAATAATTTATTTCATAGGTTTTACCGGCGTAATTTTTTAAGCTACTGCTCGTTCATTGTGCCGACTTTCCTGAGAAGAACGAGCTAGTGAATGCTCTTTTCAAATAAACTTAAATGCTATGGAATACACTTTAAATGATATTTGTCTGGAATCTAGACTCATGTCGTCTTGTCATACATCTTTATCTAACAAGTAGTCATCAATTTTGTAATATGACTTTCAACACCTATACATAATTTTGATGTAAGTTTTAAATTTCGGAAATGATATTCTTAATATTATGCTCCGGAATCTTATTGTAAAAACGTATACAGTTCCCCATAAAAAATCGCTTACCTTAAACGAAATCGTGGTACCATGAGTTTGGACTTAGTTCTACGGTTCATAGAACTTAAAGTTTAATCTCCTGTTATTGTAATTGCAAAGATGCAAGGCACCTTATCTTTTAAATTTGTGCTGTAACGTGATTATTGTTCCAGGGCAGCACATTTAAGCCACCATCGCCTGATACGCCGGAGCCACCGCCGCGACCAACAGCAGGGTTAGGACAGCACTGATGGTATTTTTTTGTCCTTATACATCATGCTTTAAATCGAGTTTATGGCGAACGTTTACATGCTAGCTTGGCTTCATGTCAAATTATGAAAACATTAATTAAATGATTAACACTGTCGCGGACTGCATCAATGAGATTCGAGTGCTAATGAGTGACGTTGTAATTGAAGTGTACTTAACAGTAAGTATGCAAGTGTACAGTGTACACTGTTTAGATGAACTGTTAATTACCGGTTGTACAATGTACAGCTACGACCCAAACGGAAAACAAACAACAATGACAATAACAATGAAAAAGGCGCCAAAAACAAATTTTGAATTTTAATCTAAAACGAAACTTTATAAAATTTACTGCCTCTGTGGCAATTCAATTACTGAGCACAAGTTCATTTGAATTGTCAATTTTTGTAAGTTCATACATACATACACTGTATTTAGAACTATGTTTATGAAAAATACAAAGGCGAGACATAATTTTCGTTTTTCATTTGAATTTAATACAGACAATCATACACATAATTTAATATAAAATGTATATGAATAAAAATTTATTTCGATACTGGTAGATCAACTGTCAAAATACGAATAAAGAAGGCGACAACGCATTTAGTATTCATTTTTGGCAAAATTTTATTCTTTCACAATCTATCGATAAAACTATCGACAACAACTACATAACTATTTAAAATTTTATGAAAACTGGCAACCCTACAAATGTCATTTTCTTCAAAAAGACAGACTATATAATTGGCTGCTTGTGCCTTGCTCTCTCCCGGAAGCAGTATGTAATATATTTCTTTCTATATTTTTCAGGTATTCCATCTATAGTTCAAACAGGTATAGTTTTCCATTGATAGATATATCAAATTATGTAAATATACTACATTCCTAATTATGTTGACAATGTGTTATAGGATGAGTTCGACTTTAAGCATTTCGGTGTAGTGATTGTTTAACTATACTGTTTTAAATTTGATTTATTCGCGTTATTGCCATTGGCTGGAATTACAGTGACACTGGAATGAAGCTAGAAAAGAAAAGAAGAGCACCTTAATTCCATCATAGATGATCAATCGAAAATTCTACTCTAATCTGATATAGCAACTGGATCAATGCACTGTTTTTTTTTATATTAGTGCTTGTTATTTTCGTTTTCATTATTAACCGACTTGAAAAAAGGAGGAGGTTCTCAATTTGAGTGGTTTTTGTCCGCATGTTACGCGATTGCTTCGACATTTGTTAACCGATTTCGATGATTCTTGTTTTGTTAAAAACTGTGTACTTCAGCAGTTGTCCCATTCGCACCGCGAAGCTACCTCAGGAACCAACTCTGTTAGGCCTGTAGTTTGTCACGCGTGATGAAATTGAGCAAGCAATTTGTTTAAGCTCCTAGGCGATAATACGAGCAACGATTTCTTACCGCCACATTGCTATTGTCTTTTTTATATATCTGTCTTTTTATCATGGCAATATTTCTCAACAATCACTCACCAGTACTGCTTCATAAGACTGCATATTTTATAACTACGTTACCATACATCAATACTCAATAATACATTGACAACGTCATACGTTAATTTTTTAAACTAACTTCTAGGACATGGAAGTGTAAAATAATCTCGTTTGAGCCATTCCTTGAATTAATTTATTTATGAGGTTTAATAGTGTAATAATGATTATTAGATTAAGCTTCGATATTGGACGATGGTAATCATTATTTTCACAATTAAGTTTTTAAGGTTGAATGTTGTGAAAAGACGGGAATTCTTTTCAAACTTCCGACTAATGATGGTAAGAAGACTGAGGTCATATAGTGGTTTTGTTGGTATGGGATCATACATAGCCGTCGGAGAGTTGCTCGCACGTCAATGTGACGGCCGTATTATTTATTATAACTATGCTACAAGCTGCTTTGTTAAACACCTATTTCGGGGTATAAAAGTAGCTTGTTCGCCTTTATTATTATATATAAAAAGCTATGTGACCACTGTACTAGCATCTTAGAAGACTCATAATACCATGGATCGCTATGGCGTAACTACACTCCCGGACAAATAATTCGAGCCACCTTACATTTTTATTCTAAAAGGGAGAGAATATAATAGTTATTTGTTAAGCAAGACTGCAAAGTTATTAGAAACCTGAGCGAGGGAAGGATCCTAAGATTCAAGAATAGAATCCTGAGTGTAGTTAGTGTGGTAAAAAAAATATTCTTCTCATCGAAGAAAAAGTTTTACAAATTTAAATTTTCGACAAGGAGTTCTGGAAATGACGTTATCACCTCACTGGCTCGAAATTAATTTCTTTCTCGAATGCGTTTTTTGAAATTCGAACTTGAATCGTAAATCGAACTTGATTCGATTTTCTTTCGTTGAAAAAAAAAACATAATGACGCATTCAACTACGCAATTTGTCGCATATTATTAAATCCGTTAGTATATTTTATTCTTATTATTGTTGTTCAACTGTTTTTCTTCCATCTACCATTTTCCTCTCTGTAATGAGGTGAAAAGTTGTATGTTTTGCTCGGCAGAAAAGTTGTTTTGCGTCTCGTGTCTCGAAACTCTCGCTACGCTCTGGGGGCCTACCATAACCTTTCCAAAAACAATGTTATTTCAATGTAAGCTTACAGTAAGCTTGTTATAATATTACTCATATTCGTACCATGACAAACTTGTCTACCAAGAAATGTATTATTGCTAAAATGACTGAAAGAACCATTGACTTACAAGTAAATCGACGACGGGTCTAATACAAAAACCACGAAAAAAATGTCCCAAGTCAACCTATTTAAACGTAGTGACATGTAAAGGAATATGAAAAAGCTAAAACGTTGGATTTAAATTGTAATGTCATCGCAGTACTGTCTAATTTTGCTTGCTTCGCTGTCAGTCGAACAAACGAAGACTAAAGCGTGAATAACGCTCTGTATACGATTTTAACGCCCTATAAGTTCGGACACTTTTTAGCGCGGACCCGACGTCCATATAATTGTAAGTCAATGGAAAGAACGAATGATTTCCTAATATTGGCTATTACTTACTAAAAATAGGAAAGAAATAACGCTATATGAACTGTATAATGTCATCTATTTCTTTTTTGATGTTCCGAATCGTGTTATCGTAGTACAATGTTAAAGTACTTAATGTTATTTGCATTCAGAGAATTTTAACTGCCAAAAAAAGAAAAGTATGTAATAATGAAATCTATTAAAATTACGTTGTTTTCGATTATTATTCCGCATATTCATGAAGAAAAATAAATAAAACAAGCTGAGTCTTGATAGTCACGTTGTGAATTCGAAACTATAGTCTATTGTCATAATTTTACGAAATAAACATAGGGTTTTTGTGTTTTACGAGAAATTATTTCCTATGTGCTATTAAATTAAAAAAAAAAACAAAATATGGTAGAGGTATATGTAAATAAATAAGTTCGACTTCTAATTACAAATCAATATTAAGACAATAAAACGGAAAATAATATTGTTTCCATTGCATCCGTGTAACTATTTAAAGATTGCTAAATTTGACATAAAAGCAATATTACTTTAATGTTAAAGTCGTGTATAGTACGAACTGAGTGAATGAATAGTCACAAAGCTGCCAATAAAACATCATAGTTTTAACATTACAATAAGCTTACTTTAAGCTTACTTTTAGTCAGTGTAAGGTTAAAGTAATATTGTTTTAAGACGTTGTGGTAGGCCCCAGGATTCTATTTAATCTTAGATACCTTCACTTGTCCAGGTTTTAATACAAACACTCACGTCAAACAACAACAGTGTATCAGTTTCAAAATAGCGTAATAATTTCTAATCAATCAAACGTTTTTTGATCAAGCAAACTTTAGGCTTAGGCATTTAATGCGGAAAATACGAAATAAGTGACTCGAATTATGTATCCAGCAGTAGGTATATTATAATGAATCTCTTTTTTTTTAATTCATGTTTGTTTTTGTAACAAAAGGTTTCTAATTTATTTTAAAAAAAATCTATGCCATAAATTATAATACGAAATGTACAAAATTATTTCTACGTGTAACTATTTTAGTGAACGTAATAAAAATCCATTAGATTATATAATAGTAAATACTAAGTAGGTTTTATTAGTCACTTTGTAAATAAGTAAGCATTATTATATGATTTTTGTAACATTGAAATAAATTAAGAACGAGAATAAAATAAAACATGTTTCCAAATCTGATGTGTTTCTTTTTTCCTTACACACAACATCTACAGTTAAGGTCAAAATAATCTAAGGCTCGTATTCTAGAACTCTACTCAATGCTCAAGTCCGGATTTGAGTATGATTCAAAGCACTAGAAAACATACTCAAGTCCTTGCCACTAGGGTCGTATTTCCAGTCAAATCAAATCAAATCGTTTATTTCCATAAAGCATGGTGGTCATGATAATGATAACACAGTAATATATAAGTTCAAGCATGTTTCGCCCGAAGATAATTTAGGCATGCAAAATAAATGAAAAATAGGTCGTCACATGGTTACATTTACATTAAGTTATATATAATTAATTTAAATTCTTTTACATAAAAATTATTGTAGAAATTCCCTAATACTGTAATATACTTTATTCTTTAACAATTCATATAATTTAGTCTTAAATAATGTAATGGGCAAGTGTTTAGTGTCATTTGGTAATCTATTGTAAATTCTGACACACATACACAAACAATTTTGATTATATTTTTCTACCTTAGGTACGTCAAAAAAAATTAGTCTATTGGGATTTCTATAATTTCGATGGTTCACGTCAATACTCTTAATAAACAAATGTAAATTATTTTTCACAAAAATGCTGGCTTCATAAATATATAAGGCAGGCAGGGGTAATAAACAAAGATCTTTAAATATAGGTTTACAGGATTCAAGCTGAGTCCTACCAGTAATTGCACGTATACATTTTTTTGTGCTAATAACACTGTTTATATTCGTACCATTTCCCCAGATAAGAAGTCCATAACGTAGGGTCGAGACTACATATGCGTGATAAACTGTTAACGTGGTTGACATATTTGTTATATTACGCAAACATTTCAAGGCGAAGGCAAATTTGTTAATTCTTTCACAAACGTTTTCGATGTGAGATTTCCAATTTAATTGTTTATTAATGATTATACCTAAAAATTTGGTTTCGTTTAGCTCGTCAATATTCAATAAATCAGTGCTTGAAATCATACTCAAGTCTGCTCAAATCCTGACTTGAGCATTGAGCAGAGTTCTGGAATATGACCCTCAGACTCTATACAACCTCAAATGGCTTTGATTGAGTCCGTATAACAATGGAAGTGTTCAATCAACTACTTTGGGAAAAATATATAGAAAATTGAGGATTTACACTGATTGAAATTTTCACAAACAAAAAGCGAGCTTACCTCGAAGTTTTAGAAGAAAACCGCAGTATTCAGTAGGTGCCTACTTTAGATATACTAAAGTTTCTTTTTTGCTATTAACTGAACGTATATACGTGTTCTGTTTAGTGCAGTTAATAAAAAAAAATTGGTATAATGATATGTTAAGTACCTATTGAATACAGCGGTTTTCTTGTAAATTTTCGAGGTAAGCTTGTGTTTTCTTAACCGACTTCAAAGAAAGAAAGAGGTTATCAATTCAACTGTATGTTTTCTTTTTTTTTTGTATGTATGTTACGCGATAAGTGTGTGAGAGAAAAAGTATTCCACCGCTAAGGGTGGCAAACTTTGAGATCGGTTTTTTTAGTACCCTGTACTGATTGCGAAAATCTTCCACTAGTTTGTTAATATTATTATTACTATATATTGTCACAAAGATCGAACAAATACAAAAATTTCACCAGCGACTGTTGCCACAACGTTGATTGATGATCAAGCCAGCAGATTTTACATATTTCTCTTTGCTTGTTTCTCTATAGTGAATTTTTTAGGAATTGTATTTTCACGCCGTGTACATCCTCATATTATATATAACCAAAACCATTTGAATTGTACCGTCTCGTAAGCTAAACTATTTTGTTACGACCTTTACCAAACATGGCAACAGTAAAACCTGTCTAAACATTATTGAGGTTTCATCTGACGTAGTAGGTATTCTCCAACACCTCCCTCGTAACATTTATCCAGACGCTGCAAAGTTATTTGAAAGCTCTCTAAATATCGCATGACTTTACTTTTAAGGCATTCATCTAATAACATTACAGATGACGTCATGACTGCATGGAGATCCCCTATCGCCCGCAGTTTTACTGTGAGAAGGCGTTGGAATGCCATATTGTAGTCATCTGCTAGGACCTGGAATCAGACGTAAAAGATTAAAAAGATACTGAAGAAACCTGATTGCAAGAGCATATACTGGTCTACCAAATACCTATTCACTCTTATTTAAACAGGCTGGATTAGAATGCGCCTTTTAACCTCACCGGAACATGCTGACCTAGACAGTACCTTTTCACTCTCGTCGGAAAATGAATGAATGTACCTATTCATCGACGCCTGTTATTTCCCAACATTGAATTTGCCGGGGAACAAAAACCACAGGTAGATTTTGATTTTTATGATAATATGTGACCTCAAAAGAAGACACTACAAGACGCTTGCAGGCATTTGAGATGTGGTACTACAGTCGCATGTTGCGTATTTGTTGGACACAGAGGTTACGAACGAAGCCATGCTTCAGCGTGTTCATATGTCCCAGAAAATGATGCCATCTATCAAAAGGCGCAAAATAGATTATCGTGGTCACGTGATCAGGAACAATAGATACACGCTGCTACGGGTAATAATGGTGGGCAAAGTACAGGGAAAGAGACGTGCTGGGCGAAGAAAGAAATCGCGGCTGCGGAACATCCGGGAGTGGACCGGCATTGCCTCCGGTGAACAGCTGTTTCTGTTGGCTGCTGATAGAGACGGACACAGAACGCTGACGTACAACCTTCAGCATTGAAGAGGCACTCTAAGAAGAAGAAGAATGATATTATGTGAAGTGACAAGCATGTCGTTCGTCTGATGGTAAGAGCCACTCTCCCCATTACAGTTGTAGTACCACTCAGAGCTTTAAATCGCAAGGACCTGACGAGCACTGCCACCCGTCACCCTGAGACATAAAAATGACAAATGATTGTGCCTATAATTATACCAGCACCCAGATCCTTCTAAAACGGTAGTACCATTGACTTACAAATAAATGGACGACGGGTCTAATACAAAAACCACGAAAAAAATGTCCCAAGTCAACCTATTTAAACGTAGTGACATGTAAAGGAATATGAAAAAGCTAAAACGTTGAATTTAAATTGTAATGTCATCGCAGTACTGTCTAATTTTGCTTGCTTCGCTGTCAGTCGAACAAACGAAGACTAGAGCGTGAATGACGCTCTGTATACGATTTTAATGCCCTATAAGTTCGGACACTTTTTAGCGCGGACCCGACGTCCATATAATTGT